AAAAATATGACCCGATCATTTTATGTATTCAATTATACATGTTTTATTTTGAGCTAAAAATTTATTCCCTAGGTAATAACGAACGTTTAAGTTTTGCTGCTAGAAGAGAAGAGTTATTGATTTTTAAGCATATTTTTTAAACTAATTTGGAAACATATTTTGTAACACTTCTTCTTTAATTATTCAAGTTTTTATTTCTTTTGCATTTTTTATTGATTATATTTACAATGACAGATAACACATCTCTTACACAATTAAAAAACCAAAGCACACGGTGGCCACAAAAGTTCCGTAAGGAGTGGCTTAGTAATCCGGATTTTTGTTCGTGGCTCCTGCCTCATTTTGATAAATTAAAAGCTCAATGCTCAATCTGCAAAGCAACAATCACTGCGGAGTTAACAGTTATTCGCAAACATGCGACTAGTAAATTTTATTTAATAATGTTAAAAGGTTTAAATAAACAAACAAAAATTGCTAATTTTATAGATAAAGCTTCAAATGAAGTTCGAAATGATTCAATGAATCGTAAAGTTTCACGCGCAGAAATTAAATTGTGTATTTTTTTTTGCAGAACACAATGTACCTTTTAAGATTATGGATCACTTAACACCGTTACTCCAGGAGTGTTTTCCTGATACTGATATTATAAAGCAAGTCCGATTAAAATCTTCTAAAAGCGCGTGTATTATTAAAAACGTAATTGAATTTGCTGAAAAAGAACTAGCTAGTAAATTACAAAAAACTCCTTTTAGTGTAATGATAGATGAGTCAACTGACATTTCAATGACTCAAACATTGTGTATTATCGTACGGTATTACGATGAATCTCTAGGACGAATAGCTAGTCATTTTTGGGAGTTAAGTTTGATTAATCTGGCCGATGAATCGAAATATATAAATATTCTGAATGTTTACACGGGTGTATATTCAATTGATTTTTTTAACAAGCCTGAGTACTCGACATCACTAAAAGAAGTACAAATCGAATTTCTTACTAATTGTAGAAATTTTTTCGTAAAAGGCTGCTTAGCAATAAAAAAAAGGTATGATTTCGATAACGTTCTATTAAAAAATGTATCTATTATTAATCCTGAAGAAGCTGTTGCTCAATTTACTCGAAATATAACACCTTCTTTATTACCAGTAATGCGACAACTACCTCGACTTGTCCCTAAAGAATGTTACCAATCAATCGACGATGAGTGGCGACRGCTACCAAATTTTATTTTACCAGAAAATATTAAAGTCACCGACCCTGTAGATTCATTTTGGCACAAATTAAAAAAATTTGAAGATAAAGACGAAATTTGGTCTTTTAAAAATCTAGCTAGTTTTTTTTTTAAGTATAATGTCACTACCGTTGTCAAACGCAGATTGTGAGCGTATTTTTAGTAAAATTAATTTAATTAAATCAAAAACTCGTAATAAGTTATCTGTAGAAACGCTTAATGGGTTGTTACTGTCTAGTCAAAGAGTAAATTTAAATTGTGTTAATTATGAACCCAGTCAACGGGAATACAATTTAATAAAAAAATCTTTATATGTAGTGAAAAGAAAAACAATGATGATAAAAACAAAAACGAAGAAGAAGTGAATTTCGAAATGTCAGACATGGACGATTAAGTAAAGCAAAAGTAATTGTTTTGTTAATGATTATGTGTTAAACTATTGAAATAATTTAATTTATTGTTATTAATTTTGTTATGTTTTTTTTTTGAAAGTTTAATTGTAATGATTGTTAATTAAGTTATATCAAAGTATAATGTAAAAAATGTATTAGGTTGTCAAGTATGAAAATCGGATTCAATTATGCGACATAATTGTATTCGAATTTCATACTTGACAGTCTAATATAATATTATATAATAATTATTTAATATATTTAAGAAATGTCAGACGTGGACGATTAAGTAAAGCAAAAGTAATTGTTTTGTTAATGATTATGTGTTAAACTATTGAAATAATTTAATTTATTGTTATTAATTTTGTTATGTTTTTTTTTTGAAAGTTTAATTGTAATGATTGTTAATTAGGTTATATTAAAGTATAATCTAAAAAACTATTTAAATAAAAAAGAAATGTTTAATTCAATGTTATTACCGAAGAAAATAAAAAGTGGATGATTTGTTATGCTTCTGTTTAATAAATCAGTATTAATAAACATTTAAATAAATTATGTTCTGATGCTTTAATTGTAATACTTGTAAGAATACGTAACGTTATGCTTATATCTTGCAGCATCCTAATGCGTTATATGAGTATTGAGGGAAAAAAATTGCTAGAAAAATAGTCATTCCACTTAATAATGTAACAATGATGTTGGCATAGATTTGAAAGTGCAGTGGAATTCTTTTCGATACATATCGATTGTGTTGCATTGCTCCGCCACTGCCGTACCGATAGCTTCGTTTTGAAAACAAAATTTGATAACAAAAAAAAAATTAAAATCAAATTTTGTGGCTTCCCGTGTAGTTATCGAACCGCCGAGTAGACTAAACGAATAGTGAACGTTTTCTACCTAAAAAAAAGGTCATCAACTTTGAAAAAGTTGGAACTTGGACACTTTTTCCACATTTTGAAAATTTTGTTCGAGAAATTGTTGGTTTTTTGTCGGATTTCAAATTTTCCCGGGGCGTACGATAATTTTCTGCCGCGTACGATAATTCTACGCCCCTGTGTCGATCAGACGAACTAAAGTCTCTGGGATCACTGATCACTGGTTTCGATGGTTGGTGTGTCAGAATATCAAGGTGACGTGTCCAATATTTTTCGTGTATTTTACATATAATATTTCAAAATGAATGCTTTTAAACGTGATAAAAAAGAAGAAGAAGAAGGTAATTTTAAATAATTATTAATTTTTATTTTACAACAATAAATACTTGCATGCAATTTATAACATAATTGCATTTTGCTTTATAGGTTAATTTGACATTTATTTGTAAACATCTGCTTATAAATTAATTAAAATTAAATAATGAATGTATTTGACATTTTCGTTTAATTTATTAGGTGGTGGAAATCCTTTCCAAAACTTGGAAAAGACAACAGTACTCCAAGAGGCACGCACATTTAACGACACCCCGGTGAATCCAAGAAAATGTGCTCATATTCTTACCAAAATTTTGTACCTGTTGAATCAGGGAGAACAATTAGGTACTACGGAAGCAACGGAAGCATTTTTTGCGATGACAAAATTATTCCAATCTCGAGATGTGGTGTTGAGACGTTTGGTTTATTTGGGCATCAAAGAATTAAGTTCTCTGGCAGAAGATGTGATTATTGTTACGTCCAGTCTTACAAAAGATATGACTGGAAAGGAAGATTTGTATAGAGCTGCTGCAATAAGAGCTTTATGCACTATTACCGATGGTGGTATGTTAGCAGCTATTGAACGTTACATGAAACAAGCAATTGTTGATCGTTCTCCAGCAGTATCCAGTGCTGCATTGGTTTCATCACTTCATTTGACTAGTGTATCCAGTGATATTGCTAGAAGATGGGCTTACGAAGCTCAAGAAGCATTAAATTCAACCAATGTAATGGTACAGTATCATGCTTTAGGTGTTTTATATCAAGCAAGGAAAACGGATAAACTTGCAGTTATCAAATTAGTAGCTAAACTTATGAGAACTAGTCCTAAGAGTCCATATGCAGCTTGTATGTTGATAAGAATGGCATGTAAACTCTTAGAAGATATGGAAGAAGGAGAAGATTCGATGCTAGGATTCATCGAATGCTGTTTACGTCATAAATCAGAAATGGTTGTTTATGAAGCAGCCCATGCGTTGGTTAATTTTGGAAAAAGTGGTCTTAAAGAAATTGGATCTGCTATCAGTGTACTACAATTATTCTGTGGATCTCCTAAACCAGCTCTTAGATTTGCCGCTGTTAGAACTTTGAATAAAGTTGCTATGACTCATCCAGCAGCAGTTACTGCATGTAATTTGGATTTAGAAAATTTGATCACGGATTCCAATAGATCTATCGCTACTTTAGCTATTACAACACTTTTGAAAACTGGAGCAGAAAGTTCTGTGGATCGTTTGATGAAACAGATCGCTACTTTCGTATCGGAAATTTCAGATGAATTTAAAGTTGTTGTCGTACAAGCAATAAGGTAAATTTCATTCTTAAAAATTAATTAATAATATGATTCGTTTTTTGTTTATAAATAATATTATTTTTTATTGCAGAGCTTTGTGTCAAAAATTCCCACGCAAGCATACAGTTTTAATGAATTTCCTTTCTGCAATGTTAAGAGACGAAGGTGGTCTTGAATATAAAGCAGCTATAGCTGACACTATCATAGCTGTTATGGAAGGAAATGCCGAAGCCAAAGAAGCAGGCTTAGCACACTTGTGTGAATTTATAGAAGATTGTGAACACATTTCCTTGGCAGTTCGTATATTGCACCTGCTGGGACAAGAAGGACCAACATCAAAACAACCATCCAGATATATTCGTTTTATTTATAATCGCGTAATTCTTGAAAGTGCAAGTGTACGTGCTGCAGCTGTAACAGCATTGGCACGTTTTGCTGCTGCATGTCCACCACTTCTTCCAAACGTCCTTGTACTTTTGTCTCGTTGTCAATTAGATTCCGATGACGAAGTTCGCGATCGTGCCGCATATTATTGTACTATTTTACAAGAACAAAACGATCCAACTGTATTACCATTAATACAACCACCACTTTTCTCTGTACCCAGTTTAGAAAGAGCTTTACGGAATTATATGAAAACACCTATGGAAGAACCATTCGATATTTCTGAGGTAAACTTTGTAAAAATTTTTAAATTCTTATATTATATAATTGATTTAATTAAATGATTATACAGGTACCACCAGCACAAACGATAGAGGAACCAGCACAAGTAGAAATACATACAACTATCAAACCACAACAACCACGTTTGACGAGAGAAGAAAGTTTCATTGAAAAATTATCTCAAATTCCACCAATAGCGAGTATTATTAGAGGATCATCTCTTCTTAAATCTTCATCTGTATTTGAATTAACCGAATCTGAAACAGAATACAACGTGAAATGTATCAAGCATACGTTCGCCGAACATCTTGTCTTGCAATTCGATTGTATTAATACACTGTCTGATCAATTCTTGGAAGATGTTAAAGTGTCCATTGAAGCAAACGAATAGTAAGATTGATTTATCATTCAAACAATTTTTTACTAAATATAAATATTAATAATGTTACATATTTTTAGTTACACCGTTCTATGCGAAGTACCCTGTCCACGTCTATCGTATAACGAACCAGGAACAACATACACAGTATTAGCTTATCCAGAAGATGTTCATGCAAGTGTTGCAACCATGCCAACAACTCTTCGTTTTATGGCACGCGATTGCGATCCTACAACAGGTGTTCCAGATACTGATCAGGGTTATTGCGACGAATACATGGTATTATAATCATTAATTTTGGAATACTAATCTTATAAAAATTATATTTCTAATTTGATGTATAATATTTTAGCTGGAAGATTTGGAAATTACCATAGCCGATCAAATCCGAGGTGTAGGAAGTAGGGGAGTAGATTTCGGTGCACTCTGGGATGCGTCTGCTGCTAAAGGTTATGCTAAATTGGAAGAAACATTTGTTTTAGGCGATACAGTAACAAGTTTAGAAGGAGCTATACAAAGTCTTACAGGATTTTTAGGATTAGAAGCTGTAGAACGTAGCGATAGGGTGCATCCAGGTTCCGCGTCGCATAATCTATTGTTAAGTGGTGTTTTCAGAGGTGGTAAAGAAGTACTCGCACGTGCAAGACTAGCACTCTCAGATAATCAAGTAACGATGCAATTGACGGTTCTATGTCCAGATCCGGATGTTGCTGAATTAATTGTTTCCTCGGTAGGATAAATCTAAGCGTAATTTTTCTAGAAAATAATATATGTATATGTATATTAATTTGTTGCAAAGTGGTTTTTTTAATTGAAAAAAAAAATGATAATTCAATAGCAAGCGATAAATATTCCATCACAATTGTTCCATTTTATATATGTATAACACTATTTTATATGATAATAATTAATAACAGTGAACTAATTGTTATCAATCTTTCAACATTGTATGTATTAATAGAATGTGTTATAAATATCTAATGAATCCCATTGCATTTAGGAAATTAGAAAGCAATTATTAATAGAATAAAGATATGATTTGTAATTATATGGAACTTGATGATTTTAATTAATTTTATGTGTATGTAAGAGAAGACGTAAATTTCTTTTGAAAAATCTTAACTAATGAACTAAATAATATGCAAACAACGTTGAAACGAAAATATTGTATTTAAATTTGGCGCGTTTTTTTAATTTATCAATAACTCGAATGGTGTCGCTTCCATGTACATTGTTGGGGGACCGGAACTCGATTTTGCGCGCGAATGATTCAAATATTGAAATAATTATGAAATAATGAATTGCATCAAATACAGAAAAAAATGAACTATATTTAATGATAATTAAAAATTTATATTAAAATAGAATAGGTTACACGAAAAAATTATTATAAATTCAAGCGGTCCCCCAAAATTTTCAACCAATGGCACATGAGCTGAATATGAATGGCGTAATTTTTCTCCTTTGGGAATTGGCCTCCTACAGGATTTCTACCTTTTTAAAATCATCGGTCTCACAAATATAATACTATTTATTTTGCATACTTCTTTTTACTATCTATTTGTAATAACAAAGTATTTATATTTGTTACAGATTTTTTTGTTTATAATCCAATATGTAATAGAAATTCCAATCTGCATTACCGACAGATATAGAAACTCCGACTCGCATTGCATAGCTTCCTATTTAAAATGGCGGCTGTACTGGAAGAAGTCGGCAAATCTGCCGAAAAATTAGTAAATGAGGAAAAGGATGAAATCGTAGACCAAGAGGACGAAACTGGAGCATCGGAGGCATCTAAAAAGAAGAAAAAAAAGAAGAAGAAGAAGAAGGCCGGTATGTTAGATTAATAATTTTCTTTTGGGTGTGTTCGCTTCGTTTGACCACTCGTACTCATTAACAAGGTGCTGTTTCCACAACGTAACTTATTTTTTATTACCTCATTTTCTATAATTTTAAATAACATTATTTTTCTATTCTAAATTAACTATCTTCATTTAAATAATTAAACAAGACCGATTATTTTATTTGCATTAATTCATTGTAATATTTTTTATTTAACAAATTTTTAATATTATTTTAGTGCATCATATTTCACTCATACGTTTACAGGTAGATTTTTCATATTATTAACATTTATATATTTTAATGTAGGTGCTGGTGAAGCAAGTGCTGATGTACCTGAAGGTGATGACAAAGTGAAGGAAGATGATCAAACAAAAAATGGTGATGAAGCGGCTGAAGGTATCACTTTTTTTCAATTACATTATGAACCATCAAAATTCTACTATAAGAATCTATTTAACAAAATAATTTTCTTTTATTCTATAAATGAAGGATCAGCAGAGGCTAATGACAATGAAGCTGAAACCGGAATGGAAAATGAAGATGCTAAGAAGAAGAAGAAGAAACGTAAATCACGCAATAAGGCTGGTGGAATCAAACAAACTGAAAAACCTTCGATTCCAGTCTCTGAATTATTCCCTGATGGAAACTATCCGATTGGACAAATAATGGATTATCCTCCAGCTGCTGGAATTGATGAGAGAACTGCTAAGGATCGTTTTTCGAGCGAAGAAGCACGTGCATTAGATAGAATGCACAGCGACATTTATAATGAAGCTAGACAAGCTGCTGAAGCACACAGACAAACAAGAAAACATATTAAACAATGGGTATAAATATTTAATTATGTATACTTAATCTTTTAAACACCGTATACTCTAATATTTGAATTATTTTCTTTGCAGGTAAAATCAGGAATGACAATGATAGAAATCTGTAATGAATTGGAAGACACTGCTAGAAAATTAATTGGAGAAGACGGATTGAAAGCAGGATTGGCATTTCCAACTGGTTGTTCAAGAAATCATTGTGCTGCTCATTACACTCCCAATGCTGGTGATCCAACTGTTTTGGAGTACGATGATGTCACTAAAATTGATTTCGGAACACACATCAATGGTCGTATCATCGATTGTGCATTTACATTAGCATTTAATCCTAAGTATGATAGACTTATTGAAGCGGTACGGGATGCCACTAACACTGGAATCAAAGCTGCTGGTATTGATGTTCAGCTTTGTGATGTCGGTGCTGCTATTCAAGAAGTTATGGAATCTTACGAAGTTGAAATTGATGGGAAAACTTATCAAGTATGTAAATTAGATAAGATTTTGTATTCCCTGTATGCATATGAATTTTATATGAACTTATGTTTGCTTCGTTTCTAAGGTTAAATCGATCAGAAATTTGAATGGACATTCAATTGCACCTTATCGAATACACGCTGGTAAAACTGTACCAATAGTTAAAGGTGGTGAAGCCACGAGAATGGAAGAAAATGAATTTTATGCTATTGAAACATTTGGATCTACTGGAAGAGGTGTTGTCCATGATGATTTGGAGTGTTCTCATTATATGAAGAGTTTTGATACCGGATATGTCCCGCTCAGATTACAGAGCAGCAAATTTCTACTTAACGTTATCAACAAGCATTTTGGTAATTAACAAATCTATTATAAAACATATATTAATGTTTTTAGGATAAATAATTATAATAGAATTTTATTGTATTGCGTTTTGTTTTTAGGTACATTGGCATTTTGTAAACGTTGGTTAGACCGCGTTGGTTGTACCAAATATCAAATGGCGTTAAAAGATCTGTGCGACAAGGGTGCAGTTGAAGCTTATCCACCGCTAGTCGATGTCAAAGGATGTTACACTGCACAATTTGAACATACACTTGTTTTACGTCCTACTTGCAAGGAAGTCATTTCTCGAGGAGATGATTATTAAACAAAAACAATAACAAAATTATTGTCACTTGTACGATTTTCTTGTGAGAGATGGGGCACTTATTATTAGTTTAATCATTGTAAAGTTAATTCATGTAAAATTAGCATTGCAAAAGTGCTTAAATCATTGCAAGTAAACGTACGTCAAGTATTTTGTTACCATATTAGTGTATCTCGTTTTTTTAAACATTCTTTTTCGCCCTTCAGAATAATTACAATGAAGCCACGAGTCATGATATTGTAAAAAAAAAAAAAAAAAAAAGATAAAAAAAAAAGAACAAGTACCCTTTATATTTAACATGGGAGAGTTTAAACGTTTCTTCTGTAATATTGTCGATTAATGTTTATTTAGAATACATTCTATTCGTTTATACTTTTTCCTTTTTCTTTTTAAAAAACGAATACGTACCTGAAAAAATAAATTATGTCGATCGAGATCATTTTTTTCTGTTGTGTTTACCGAATCGGATTTATTGGAGATATAATATATTTAATTGTTGCGTATTTGTCTTAATAACATTGAGTAATTTCACTTTATTGTTGATTTTATCTTCTATATATAAAATATTAATCGGAAATGACAGGAATATTTTAGATTACACCTATGTGAAATAAAATATATATATATATATATATTTGAAATTTTAATTGTACCACTGTGATAATAATAATCGTCACGTACTTTATATTATAATTAGTTTGTCTTGATAAATAAAAGAAATTTTAGTGCAGAATATACGTGGCAGTGATACAAAAAACTATTTCGTTATAATATATAATATATATTTTCAAGAGAATTATACAGGATTTCCGAGATGTGTTCGATCGAACGATGTCCAGAGATATTCTATGTAAAAAAATAAAGAAAATGTTTTAATAAACATAGTTATATTTATTTTTGTACATAGAATAAGCTGACATCGTTCGATCGGAAATATTTCAGACACACTGTATATACAATTCAACGATAATTCAGATCAATGAGATGATATAAAGTGCGTCAAATAGATATATACTATTATATATTTTCATATTTCTTAATATCTGCTATATATATATAGTTTGAAAACATATTAGAATATATATGCAAGCCTTGATCTCGTCCATTGTTCCTTCAGTCTTGAAACGTTTGCATCAGTAACCACCACATACTCCTACTTATTAATTAAACTATTTTACTACAATGAAACAATATGATACAGTACAGATATATAGATATTTTGTTCTCTTTCTCACAATATTTTATAATAATAATAATAATATATCGGGCATTGCTAAATTTATTTTTAAGGCCTTCTTCTTCAATCATGCAATCTTGCTTTATGTATATGGTCCCAAGATATTCATTCTAATATTCATTTTATTTTCACAATTATTTAATCAACCAAAGAGTTTGGTTTAAATAGAAACCAAAGAACTAAAATAATCGACAGTATATTCTTTTTGTAAACAAGTCAAGTAAATTCCACGGATAGTTTAGACTTATTTTTTTATGGTTTATGATTATTATCGAGTGAAAGTATGTCCTGACTAACAATAACGAGTCCATGTTGTAGAGGCACGGAAGAATATCTCACAATGATGTAGAGACGATCATTAGAAATAAATTCGTCTTTGTCCGTTGAACACGAATCTACATCATCATCATTATCATCATCATTATCATTATCATTATCTTCATCATCATTATCAGAATCATAATACTTCCACGTTTAAGTAGTAAACAACTTGTACGGGTTATTAACATTAACTTTGTGAATTAGTCAATATAACGATTCGTATTTTGATCATTTTAAACTATCTATTAATGAACGTTTACTACGAATCGTACTCCTCATAAAAATAGTTTATAATTTATTACCATCTTTCTTCTTTCATTTTTTTATAAATGCAAACAAGAAAGATAGATTTAAATAATTCGCCATTTTTTTTTTTTTTTTAAGACGTTTGGTTCTTACTTCTTTTTTTCGTTAACTATGACTATAAGGAGTGCGAGTTTATGGTCCTGCTTTTCTAAAAAAACAAAATTATTCTCATATACGAATATATGTATGTTTGTTTGTATGTGTGTGTGTATTTGTATATATATATGTATGTAAGTTTTATGTATATCTATATATACAGAGGATTACGTTCTAAAAGATTGATCATCTGATATTTAAAATTCATTATAACGAAAACGTAATAATTATTATCGTTTGTTTTGTTTGTTAAAGTTAAAGTTTGTTGTTAAATTCACGTATTACACACGATCCAACAATGTCCATGTTTAATTCCTAATTCATTGGGAATCTGTACGCGTTCTTAATTTCGCTCTCGCTGTTATCAAAAGATTATTTGGTGGTTCGATCATTGGTTGTGATTTTTCTTGCTGAAATATAAAATGAAAAAAAGTGCGTTAAGATAATAATTTACGAGTTACGATTAAATTGTTTAATTAAGAAGATAGTAACTTTTTAAATTTAAAAAAAAAAAAAAAACTCACCATTATTTGAATGTGTTTAGCTCTTTGTTCTATCGCCCTTTGCAATGCTGTCCTTGGATCGTCCTTAAACGTTTCCTCGCGAATTTTTTCAGCTTCTTTTCGCGACGCATTTTCTCTCTGTTTTTCCAAAGCTCTTTGTAATTCGCTTTTTTGATTTAACACGTTTCTACCTCTGCAATTAACACACGAATAAAATACTTCCAATTGTGTATATACCTAAATTAAAAAAAAAAAAAAAAATAGAAAATGTGACAGTACTTACATTTTCTGATTAAAAAGTAACTCTCTACGTAAATCTTTATGATTGTTAGACGTCAGGCAAGGGTTGTAAGGTTTCCTAGGTAAAATTAGGCCATCAGGTCCCATATGAGGTGCAGGTGGTGGTGGTGGTGGGACACCCAAAACTGGTGCCATTTTTTTTTCTAAAAAAAAAAAAAACAATATCAACAAATAACAAATTAAATCAATAATTATAATAATAGTAAAGCGAATGTAATCGTTGAATATTTGTTATAAGTGAGACATCAAATTTAAGACGATTCTTCTTTTTTTACGCTTCCCCCTTTTTTGTGATCCCTTCAGCCAGACAATAATTTAAATATTCACCCTCGAATGATGCAATTCTTGCCCTAACTGAACCCTCGTCGGACATCGCGGTATATCGCGTACTGAAACATTTCCTGACCGAACCGTATCAAAGAGTGCACGTTTTTTTTCTTCTATATAGTTTTAGTTAGGGCTTCGCATAGTCAGCTAATCGGTTTAAAGTTTGAACGAGTCTACTGAGAGAACTCTACTTACTTTTCTATATCTATCTATTCATGTATGAATGATGTATGTAAAAATAATATGTATTTCAAGGTAAATTACAACATCATTTTTCATTAGTATGAATTAATTAATATTTATGAAGTATGAATTCATTTTTAACCAATGTTTTCTTGTTCATTAATTAAAATGTTTCCTTCCAAAATACATTTGATTAACCATAAGTGTGTTATGTATACTTAAAATGGATATAAGTTGTAGGAAACGTTTTAATATGATATATGTATAAATTACGTGTCACGTTGTTTGTCCGCAATGGACTCCTAAACTACTAAACCGATTTTAATAAAATTTTGCACACTGCGTGCAGTTTCATTCAACTTGAAAGATACGATAGTTTATATCTCAATTTATAATCGCAATATTATTTTATTGCGAATTATTTGTTTATTAACAAAGAGTTATGATTATCTCTGTTAGTTCGATAAGATTCTAACAGAGGGCGGTATAAGGTAATTCGTTAACTTAAAGACGTTGTGTATCGGACTGATTGTGAACCACAGTAACGCGTGGCGGGGCACCCCTAGTTAATTATAAATAGAAATTAATAAAAAAAAACAATCTGTAAAACTTTAGAAAAGCAGATAACATTATTGGAATACTTTAGGGATCCTATAATGGAAATAATTTATGTATTTAAATATGCAGTTGAATTATTGTGTTAACTAATGGGTTGACCTTTTTAAAAACTTTGGTAACTTTAGAGACACTTTGGTAATAAGAAAAACAATTATGAAAGATAAAACTCGAACATCTTTTTCTGGAATTAGTATAGCAGATGTTTTTTCTTTTTCTTTTCTTTGCTTTCTCACACTTTTCGGTAAAAGCAAGCAAGTAGTGCGACAGTGCATCCCATCGAGGATGCATTTCGACGTTGTATGCATTCTACGGGTAGCTTGTTAGACGTACGACACTCTTGTTTCGATGGTTGTTCTTCTGTTTCAACTGAGACGGCTCGTTATACTCACAGGTATGTACTACCTACTTATATATATATGTATATTTGACCGAGTAGTATTCCCAGTGCAACAAAAAAAAGAAACCCTTTTCTCTCGGTGAGAATGAAACCGCAGGGTGCATTCAAAAAAATATTCACTATTTCCCACACATTTATGATTTATATACGTGTGTACAATTTCTACAGATTGCCTACTTGTTGTGCTTTTTCTTTTCATTTGTTTTTTATTTCAATTTAAGAGTCTACGAAAAATTCAATCAATGCACAAGTGTAAAAAAATTTTTATCAATGCACGTGTCTACGAAAAGTTCAGTCAATGCACGAATGTACGAAAAAAATTTTATTAATTTACGAGTTTACGAAAAGTTCACTCAATGCACGAGTGTAATAACAAAAGTTTAATCAATGCAATAGTCTACGAAAAGTTCAGTCAATGCACGAATGTACGAAAAAAATGTTTGCAATTTTTTTTTGAGAATCAATGACCTACGGAAAAATTCGTCAATGCACGAGTCTACGAAAAGTTCAGTCAATGCTCATTGATCATTGACGAATTTCTTCGTAGACTCATTGAAATTGTTTTAAAATTGCCCGAGTCCTCGATTATTAACTAATTTCTTCGCGTAGCTCATTGATCATTGACTAATTTCTTCGTAGCTCATTGGATCGTTGACTAATTTCTTCGTAGACTCACTGAACTTTTTGAAAAATGCAAGAATCCTCGATCATTGACTAATTTCTTTGTAGACTCATTGAAATTTTGTTTAAAAGTGCAAGTCCTCCGATTATTGACTAAATTCTTCGTAGACTCATAAAACTTTAAAAAAAATTAAATTTCAAATAATAATCGATGTGATTTTAATAGAAATGTTAATAATAATATTAATAATAATAATTAGAGAATATTTATTATAAAATATGATAAATAAAAGTGTTCGGATCATTTGTCAATTTTATAGAATGTTAAAAATGGAAAACTGTAATAGAAAATCGAAATTTCTCACTTTCTTTATTTCATTTTTCTCGTTTGAAATAACGGGAAGCGAATCCGATTCGGATAATTTGATTTTACGAGCGAACGGGGAAAAAATAATATACAAAATCATTTCACGAACGAAAAGTCGTCCATGTGTGACGGAAGATATTTAGTCGCGTTGAAGAATACTTTCTTTCCTTTTCCTCTTTCCTACATTCTGTTACAGAATACAAAGGTTGAAAAGTTTTGAGATTATCACGAGATACGGGTCTTGAAAATTTTGGTCGTCGTATTTTCAAAAGTTGCGTCAAGATTTTTTACACTTTAAATGAACGGATTTAAATGATACTTGTATCAAATTAAAGTACATACTTTTTTCTACGTGTGGAATATCATATTAAGTTATAAATCTGACTGTAAAGTTGTATAAAACGTCATAGAATGCAATGCTGTAAAGTGCACAAATTTGTCATTTCTTTGAAAGAGTTGCGTCAAGGATTTTTTAGACTTATAGTGAACGGTTTTTAA